TGCGATGGAGCTGCCACCTGTGTCCTAGTCTGGAATCCACAGCAAGTATCAGTGAAAAGGCTGCCCCTGTCACTGGAAGAACAAATAAATGCAATCAAAAGGAGTTCTTTTCCCACTTCACTATCCACCCTATTTCTTTCTTCCCAATCCTACAGAAATCATGAATGTCTCAATCTGGACTTTTCACAGTTTCCAGGCATAATGATGAATGTTGATGATAAGACAAGTGTACAGAGAGGAGAATAAGAGTGATGGCGATATTCAGAGAATCATAAAATTAGAAACCAGGTACCATTTTTCACTGGGTCAGCTTACCCCAGTGATTTACCAATAACCACAGGAGCTAATTCAAAGAGTATCTGGAAGTTTATTTCTTCATCTCCTTCCAGCATTTCAATTTAGGGAATCTTTCAATTCCATTAAATAAATGATAATATAAATTATTAATGGCAACATTATAAACTACATGGGGCCTGGGCTTCAGGAAGAGCCCTTCACTTATAAATGCCCCTCCTGCCCAGGAAAACCCCCATCTGCTCTCCTACACATGCAACCTCACTCATGTGAGAACCAGGCAACTCCCCGCCACAACTAAAGAGAAAGCATTTAAGATTAAAACAAGAGCAAAAACAGTTTCTACTGTCAGGGTATTGAAATCTCCCAATATCTAATCACCTACAGAAGAATTCACATTCAGCAATCTTTTCTAAGCAATAATCAGGATCTGCCTACCAGGAACACATTCTTCCATTAAAATGCAGCTCTTGCTGGTTTGGCTCAGTGGATAGAGTATCGGCCTGCAGACTGAAGAGTCCCAGTTTCGATTCCGGTCAAGGGCACATGCCAGGGTTATGGGCTCAAAGCCCAGTAGGGGACATGCAGGAGGTAGCCAATCGATGATTCTCTCTCATCGTTGTTGTTTCTATCTCTCTCTTCCTCTCTGAAATCAATAAAAACATTTTGTTTTAAATGCAACAGGGAGAACAGCTTCTGTCTGGTGGTACTGCTACCACTTCTACTCCCTATTCCCTTTAGAAGAATGTCCTTCAGAACAAAAATGTAATCTCTTCCTCCGACTTCTCACTGTCAGGGCACATGATGGGACCACACAGCAGCCTGTAAGGGCTCTGGACAGTGTGATCCAGCCATGGCAAAATGGTAGAGGCTTCGGTGGCCAGCTCTGAAAGCAGACCTGGCTAAGGCAAACAACAAGTCACCTTCACTAGTCCGGTCTTCACAGCAATAGCTGCCTCACCCAGCACAGAGCTCTGGGACTCTTACAAACAAGGACCAACCCCTGTGTGCAGCACAAGCTTGGAAACAGCAACCGAGATGCCGCCTCTCCTCTGCATCCTTCAAGATCAGCTAACACCCCCAATCCCCAGGGGCCTCTCCAGCTCGGTGGTGACAGCAGTGACACCAGCCTTCTCAGAACTCGGGGCATTCACAGATGTCACTGTTCACAGGCCCATGACACATGATTCCAAAACCAACTACACCCGGCTCACCTCCTGGGGCAGGCACAGCAGCGGACAAGACTCAGGAAGCTTAAATGTTAGGAGGGTGCGGACAGATGAGAAGCGTGGAAACAAGCAGATAACAGATGGTGCTAAGTGCTGTGACATAAATCATCAGAGCAGCGTGACAGAGTAGCCGGCAGGGGCTCGCTGGAATCAAGGGGGTCAGAGGACCTCCTCTGAAGAGGAGACAATGACATTGAGCCCAGAGCCCAGAGGTAGGGAAGAGCTCAACCTGTTCTTAGAACAGACGGAACCAAGATTAGGTAAAGTGTAAGAGAGTGAGGAACTGCTGGCTGTAAAGCAGGTAGCGGAGAACCACAGAAGGCTGGGCACTCAGGCCTCAGCTTGAAGAAAAGCATGGCATGATGGGCTGTGGCATGTCCTAAGTTGACATATACCATTCTTTCACTGTTACTAACCTTCCAAGTTTATGTTTCCCTAAACCCATCCCTGAGAACAGGGACTATGTGGCCTCACAGTGCCACCACACCATTGTATACAAAAAAGACACTCGATGTACACACACACACACACACACACACACATTGTTCATTTGTTCAGATGGTTAAAGAACCTACATTTAAAAACTTGCCAAAGGAATCATTCCTTTGTAATGGTTGCAGTTTTCACTACTACAGTGGCTGAATCATAACGGGAAAATAAAACACTTAGAATTAAAAGCTCAGTGGATATAAATGCTTGTCTGCCTATCACTGAAAAGAATTTGGCTGCAGTCTTCCTACCAACATAGAAATAAACAAATTAGCTACCTGCGCAAAGGGAGTGCCGTCTTACTGAGGATGGAAAGGCAGAGAAAGGCCATAGGTAAGGCCAGCAGCCATCACATGGGCCCCTTCCATGCCTACCCGTCGCCACCTACTGGACAGCCGGAGGACAGAAATCTGCGCAGTTTTCCAGGGTCTGAGCCTTCAGGGTCGGGTCAGCTAACTTGTATAAATAATTGAAACGGACACAGGACAATTGAGAAAAAAAGGCTTCTAAAAGATCTAGAAATAACTAATAAAAGACTTTCTTATCCTAATAAGTTATGTAAGCATGCCTCATTAGAAGTTTGCCGAGTGGTCAAGTCAGGTGGGCCTTCTAGTTCATAGTCATGACACAAAGCAACATGGAGGTCGCTGGGGAACTCAGTGAGAGTCTCTGCAGATGCGAGCAGTACACTGAAGAGGCAGGAAGAAGAAAGAAAATGGAGGTACTTCTCAAACGGAGATTCCTAGGAATATTTAAAAGCCAACGGGCCCTAGCGAGTTTGGCTCAATGTATGGTGCTGGCCTGCGGACTGAAGGGTCCCAGGTTCGATTCTGGTGAAGGCCGGGGTTGTGGCTTGATCCCCAGTGTGGGGCTAGCAGGAGACAGCGGATCAATGATTCTCTCATGAACCAGGAGGTCATGATTCGATTCCCAGTCAGGGCACATTCCTGGGTTGTGGACTCAATCCCTATTGGGGGGCATGAAGGAGGTAGCCGATCAATGATTCTCTCTCATCATTGATGTTCCTCTCTCTCTCTCCCTCTCCCTTTCTCTCTGAAATCAATAAAAACATATTAAAACACACACACACACAAATGAATGAAAGAGACCAACTGACTTGACAAGAGGACAAAGGGCTTGGTGGAGGCTGCTGAGAAGGTAGAAGGGAAGGGAGAAGAGGGGAGAAGAGCTCCATGGCCCTCATTAACCTGGCTCCAAAGGTGCACAACCTGTGCACTCACACAGGCAGGGCCCCCATTCAGAAGGGCACCACCCTCACTGTGGGATCAAAAGGCCAGTTGACCATCTTCAGATTCCTTAAAATTTTTTTCAAAGGGGCTGCCTCAGTTCATTTTGCCCTGAGCCTCACAAATTATGTACCAGTCTGAGGTTGGAGAGGGGGATGCGGCCTCAGCACCAGGAAAGACAGCTCAGCTGCCAGGGCAGGAAGAGGGAATGGAGGGCAGTGCCAGCCATAGCTTCTTTTTCCATGAAACAGAGACAACTGCCATGAATGAGCAAGAGGGCAGACAAGGGAGAGAGGCTGAAATTAATTGTACAGTGGAAAAATCTGGCAGAGTCCACCTTAACCAAGGAATCAAGGTTCACATCACCTGTAACAAGACAATCTAATATCGTGCACCTCGTATTTTACACTAAAAAGGGCACAAGTTCACTTCTGTGCTATTTGCTATTCCTGTCAAAGTACAACATCTCAATGCAATTGCAGAAAACCCAAACTGAGGAACATGCCTCAAAACAGCAGACCAGTATTCTTGAAAAGTGTCAAGGCCATGGGAGAAAAGGAAAGACAGAGGGACGTCACAGACTGGAGAAGACTATTTGGATACAATGTGGGGTTATCCTGAAACAGAAAAGGACATTGGGGAAAACGAGTGAAATTTCAATAAGGTTTGTTGTATAGTTAAAAGTATTGTATTAATTTCAATGTTTTGATCAGTGTACTATGAAAGACAGTGTACTATGAAAGAGAGCAAAATTCAAGGAATCTGGGCAAAGGGTTTATGAAAACTCTGACTCCTTTTTCAATTTTCTGTCTCAAATTATTTCATATAAAAAGTTTAAATTTTCATGTGGATGTTTTGCGATTTTTTAATGTTATCGGTAATTCCAGTGACCTCAATTATCACCTCTGAAGTCTAGCACTGCTGCATCGGACGTGTTCCTGATGCTCTGTCAAGCCAAGAATCAGTAACAAAAGAGAAAGGTGATGTTCCCTGTGAAAATTATAACTTTGAACAGGTCACAGAGCTTTAAGTTTATATAATGCTTCCTCGCATCTATTGCATCATTCTGCTTCCCAGCCTCATAGCAAGGAGGCAGGCAAGAACAGGAATGTCCCTTCAGTTCTCACTCCTCTTCCTGCCTGCTCCCCTTTCTGGAAGGCTATTAAGTGTTTGTGTTAATTAAAGCCTTTAGAAGTGTTGAGTGTCTGTAAGAGAACACAAATTACAAGGACGATCAACAGAGCTCCTTTCTCAAGTTTAATTTTAATATTTTCTGAAAGCTTACTGAGTTGGCAGAAAATCTAGGTCAGATATTGCTTTAGGAAAATTAGGTGTTAAAAGAACTTCAGCTGACACATCTGCTTACACCTGGGATAAAACCCAATCCAGGTAGCCATTCTGAATGGGCGAACCTGCCAATCCAGAGCCAAGGGGAGTTGTGCCGCTACTCTGCTGCCACCCAGTGGCGTGTGGGTGAAAAAGCACCTCGCCAGAGAACAGAAAGAACTGGGCTCTCTGTAAAGGCATTTTCTCTGGATTCCAAAGTTAGGCGGAGGAAAGGCAGAAGTGCTGTCCCTGCCTGCCACAGCACTATGGGGGCAGGTGTAAGCAGATGAGAAGGGATGTATTAAATTCTGCAATGAAGTATTGTGTCCACCAGATTGAGAACTGCTCCAGGGACTAAGTTGAAGCCAAAAGATGTTACCGGCACCTGGGGAACAAATCCCAACGCCAGATTTACCTGCTTTGGGTCGGAGGTAGAAGCGCCAGGAGCTGGGGATTCCAGTTCTATGGTCACAGGCCCATCATTCTGAATGTGGACTTGCATGTGGGCACCAAACTTGCCATCTGAAAGAGCAATTCAAACAGTTACTAGAGATGGAAACCCCAGATTACCCATCGATAAAGCACACCTATCTCAGTAAAATCAGAAGCCTGGGGTATAGGAATAGTCCACCCCCCAGTGGTGAGGTAAATACAAAATTAAACAGCAGAGATATCACACCACACACACTTGCTATAGACTTGGCAAGAATGAAAAGACCTGGTAACATGAAGGGTGGGAAAAATATGGGTTAGAGGGCTGAAAAATGGCAGGAGAGTAAACTGGTATAAGTACTTAGAGGGCATTTTGGTGCTATACCCAGTAAAGTTCAATATGAACGAAGCCTACAACCTTGGAATTCTTTGGTGAGACTACCCTAGAAACTCTTAAACAAATGGAAACACTCAAAGGTTCATTTTGGCAGTGTTTATATAAGAAAGAAATGGACCAATCTGACTGTCCCCTCAGTGGGGGGTGAATTCATAAACACTACTTCAATTCCTCAATGGAATACTGTAAGGCAGCCACATCTGTCAACATGGCAAATCTCAAAAACATAATACAATCTTTATAAAAGGAACGTGTAAGAAGGACGCATCATTATATCATTCATGATACTTTTTTTAAAATATATTTTATTGATTTTTTACAGAGAGGAAGGGAGAGAGATAGAGAGTTAGAAACATCGATGAGAGAGAGTCATCAATCAGCTGCCTCTTGCACACCCCCTACTGGGGATGTGCCCGCAACCAAGGTACATGCCCCTGACTGGAATCGAACCTGGGACCTTTCAGTCCACAGACCAATGCTCTATCCACTGAGCCAAACCGGTTTCAGCCATTTATGATACTTTTAAATATCAAAACAAGTTATATTATTTATGGGCGTGTGTGTGTGTGTGTGTGTGTCAAAAAAAACATGGGCAGGGAAGACAAATGCAAATACAGGATAGTAACAGCATTCATACTGAAGAGAAGGTAGAAGGTGATGGGATTTGAGAAAGACCTGAAATAAATATGACCAACTGGGTAGTGAGTACACAGGTATTCGTTTTCTGTGTGTTTCATAATTTTTAAACAATTTAAATGTAAAGAAAAAGAAAGCTTAGGATGGTCCCTAAAAACAATCTCAAAAACATCCCTGTAACTGACCCACAGGCTCACATGGTAGAAAGAAGGTCCTGCTCCCTCACTGTGGGGTCAAAAGGCCAAACTACAGCCGCCTCCTAGGGCAGAGAACTGAGGAGACGCCTCACTCTTCACAGGATGGGACTGCCCAGAGCTGGGGGCCACCCACTCTCCCTGCCTATGTCCCCTCCTCACCCCACTGAGGCAGCAGATGATCCTGTTTCCAGAAAATGCAGTCAAACTGGCCACAGGTTGCCCCAAAGAGAGCACCTCTGTGTGTTCTATTCCCAATTTTCTGTTTTAACACCCAAATCCACTCAACTATGTCTGATTAATCCCCGAAAGCTGACTTACATTTATAAAGAAAACCAAGAATACCCTTTGAGAGATGTTGTCATAGATTAATCAGAACATCAACTTCATCCATCCAAGGACCTCTGTTAAGCGCTGGGCCTAAACACTGCTGGTGATTCTTAGAGTAGGGAACATTGTTTTTGACACGTAGGGAGGATTACTTGCATACCACCTCTGATAAATCGAAAATTTAAAAAAAAAAAAAAAAAAAAAGTTGGATCCACAGAGTAAAGTTAGTGAGTCCTCAGAAACCGAAAACCGCCAAGAACTCTTGCTCCCACCCACCATTACGGAGCAAAGAAAGTGTATGAGATCAAATCACTTTCCACTCTTCATTCACAGCAACTGTGCCAGCCCCTGTGCTAGAGCCTGAAGACCCAGCTCAAAGGCACAGGCTGTATGACACTCGTGCACCCTATGGTCTAATGTAAAAAACGAATGGGCACATCATGATGGTGATGTAGTGCTGCACGCAAACCGTGAGAGGTTCTGGCCCTGAGACCAGGGAAGGGTCAGAGTCCCTGTCTTGGGAGATTAGGAAGGAAATCAGAAAGGCTTCTCAGATGAGCCTATACAGGGTCCAACACTTAAAGGTCAACCAAGATGCAGGCTGGAAAATAGGACAGGCCCAGCCCCTTGAGCACGTTGCTTAGCCTCTCAATAGATAAGTTTCTCGCCCGCATCACAGGGATAGGAACAGGAGGAAATGTCAGAGAGACCATGCATGGAGATGCTTGGGACTGAGGCTAGGACAGGAAGTGTGAAAAATCACACTTGTTTGCCTTTATTATGAAAAGTCGTGCTCAAGAGGCTCCATACAACCAGAGTGACGCTTCCCCACCTGCAGCCTGAAAGGTGTTCCTTGAACAAAGTATGCCATGGTCATGCCCTGGCTGGTTTGGCTTAGTGGATAGAGCGTCAGCCTGTGAACTTAAGGGTCCCAGGTTCGATTCCAGTCAAGGGCATATGCCTGGGTTGTGGGATCGGTCCCCAGTGGGGGGCATACAGGAGGCAGCCAGTCAATGATTCTCTCTCATCAATGATGTTTCTATCTCTCTCCCCCTCTCCCTTCCTCTCTCAAATAATAAAATAAACAGATAAATAAATAAATGGTCAACCATGCTGTTGAACTCTCCCTTCTAGGTACAACAGCATGTGACAGGCTCTTAAGACACCCATAAGTAGAAAAACCTATTTAGTTTCTTTGCTCTGTTAGTTACCAAACTCTCTGGGCAGGGAGCCCTTGTTTCACAGGGAGTATCCTTTGCAGTGCCAATGCCCCTCTTGGAGAGGCCAAAGCAGAGAAAAGCAGTGAATGATACACCAGCCCAGGGAGGGTCAGCCTGATGCCTGGAGTGGCTCTGCTCTCGGGTCCGAGGGTCCCTTAGACACCAGACCCACCATAGCGTGAGGTGGTCTCTCTGAGCCTCTGTTACCCCCACCACAACCGCAGTCTCCACCTCTGATTCCTCCCCACCTCGTATCACTCCCTCAAACGGTCCTCAAGCTCATGGAGGGCCTTAGGAAAATGGGCATGGCAACCGCTGGCTTCTTCAGAAATACTGAAAACTGTATTAAAAGCACCCATGCTGTTCTCCGTTGCTATAAGGCAGGATTACTCTACTTCCTACCTCCTAGCGGGTTAAAATGGCCGTTCAAATCTACAGAGCTTTTGTTTTATCCATGTCAGAGAGCTAAAAAGACATCAGCTGGGAAGGAAACATGTGTTTAATTGCATGCTAAAATTATGGCTACAATTAGTAGCAAATTCCAGCCTCTGCACTCCTCAGGGAAGCTGACGCAGACTCAGGAGGAAAGGAATTATTTCCGACCTTGAATTCCTGTTGCCAGGATATACGGCATATGCTTCACTGTGTTTATCATCCCAAAGCAAGAACTTTATTTTCTTTTCCTGTTTCTCTCCCGTTAAGAACAGCGCTATTATCCAAATCTCCATTTGTACAGACAATAAATCTAAAGTCAGGTTTTAAGGGGTCTTAAAATGGTAACATTTTTTCCAGGCCAGATCAGAGAGTAAAGCCCCCAAGAAAAACTATATTGGCCAGGGAAAATAAAAATATTTGTTTAAAATAATCTTAGGAGACATTCATAGCTACAAAACTACCTCTGGGCTCCCATGTGGCACAATCAAGTTGTTCTACAAGAACAAGTCCTGGGGTTGAGTGCAGAGCTGGGGGAGGAGCACATGTCAGGTACATTTGTGCCACCTGCCGGGCAGGAGACCCCACTGGAGCCAAACCTGCTGCGTCCTGGTCTCCAGCACAGCTGCCCGAGGCCCCGATCCCAAGCCAGGGCACCCCTTTTCCTTACAAAGGCTGACGTCCCGTCACTTTGAACAATGCTCTGAACAATGACCATCCTCAGAAGCCCTGCCCTGCCTCTCGTGCCCAGTTTGATGTGGGATGACAGGACAGTCACCTTGGGAGGGGTGTAGCCAGGACAGTACACAATAGTCACTCCTACTGCTGTCCATGGTAGTAGTTGGGCAACTAAGACAAGTGGGGGACAAAAAGCACGCCCCTGGAGAAAAATTGAGAGGGAAAAAAAGGCCATGTTCTCGATCTCCAGAGCCTGCCCTGCATGGCTATGACCAGGTTGGGGCTCACCTATCTTTGGGGATTATACCTGGACACCAGTACTGGACACTGAGCCTCAGGCCAGCCCATCTGAGCACACCCCAAAGCGGCTCCCTCTGCCACCAGGCTTCCCCTTTGTTCTACTTTCAACCTATCCAGAGCCTGGGCAGGCAAGAAGACAAGGTTACCAATAGACCCCAACTTCTGTGTACAGGCTGGTAACCAAGAAATCCAGCAATGTGTGGAACTTGGGGCCTCAAAATAGGCATATGGTGAGGTGAGGGCCAGGCGTGGAGGAGTCTGGTCTACACACAGGCCGGTATCATGCCTGGAGCCCTGAAGTCTGATAAGCACAGAGCTGCCTCAACAGAGGCAGAGTGCTCCTTGAGGGCTGAGCCAATGCAGGGTGCCACCACTGGGGTAAGGAGTCCAAGACAGCAGCCGACACAGCTCCAGGGGGCCTTAGGAGCAGAGGCAAGGGCTCTGGGAATCAGCAGAGACCAGCAGCCCAAAGAATGGCACTTTCTAAGTGACGTGGCTGGGGAAATGTTCGGTCATTGGATAAAAGGTATACTTTAAGGCCTTTAGACCCCTGACAGCCAAATTCCTCAGAGAGCGAGGGCCAGGCCCAGGTGGGCAGCATTAGAACCACTGTCCAATTCCATCTATTATACATACAGGACCATGGAGGGAACTGGGAAGGTGGTCCCAGGACCACCTTTGTCCCAGGCTTGTCACCCTTAAGGGCGGTCTCTGCTTGGCTCTGCTGCATTCCAGTTCAGTCCACTCAAGAGAGATGCCTCCTCTGGTCAGCAAGCATCTCAGGCATGGGACTCTGTGACCAGAAGCACCAGGGGATAAGCTGGGGACAGAGAATACCTACTCACAGGAGAGTGAGGGCACCTGTCACCAAATGGGGCCACCTACTTCCCAACCAGAGAGGGA